ATAAAAAATGGTGTGCATGGGCTGGGGGATTTAGCTCAGTGGTTTTGCCAACTGCTGCAAGTGCAAGGACCCAAGTTCAATCCCCGGTACCAAAAAAAAAAAAGTGTACGTATAAAACGAATTAGCCTATTTATTCTGCTTCTTGTTTCTAGAAAATTAGGAGTCCAGGGCAGTTTCACCAAACTTTTCTTCTAAGAGGCCATGTAGTAAATACTTCTTAGTTTTTGTGGGTCATTTGGGTTCTTTTGCTGCCACTCAACTTTACTGTTAAAGAATGAAAGCAAACTTCGCGGTGGTGCATGCTGTAATCCTAGCTACTCACCTATAATCCCAGCTACTTGGGAGGTTGAGGCAGGAGGATCTCAAATGAGGGAACTTAGTAAGACCCTGTCAAAAAAAAAAAAGGGTAACATGACTGTTCCAGTAAAAGTTTATTTACAAAAATAGGTGGTGAGCTGGATTTGGTAGGTAGGCCTTGGTTTGCTGATCCTTGATAGAGAACTGTTTTCATTTTGTATTTTTCTCTGTCCTTTTACATGCAAATTGATGTGATTGCTTTAAAAACTTATTAAGGATTTGTGTATTTATTTTAAAGCAAGCCACTCCGTTAGACAAAAGCCATATTCACAAATCTCTTTGGAACAAGGGTATGTTCTTGATGTAGCGTCTGAGGTTGCTGTGGACAGCACCTTTAGATCTTAAATCCTTGCCTCTTGGGTCCTGCTTTTCATACAATAGTGTTTCTAGGACATGTTTTTAAGATCTGAAGAAACCATTTGTCTGAAAGATTCTATGAGGTGCTACTTTAGGACATTCTAAAGTCTTAAAGAATGTTTCATCTTTATGCTAGATGGGTGGATGATCTTATGTTCACATCATCCTTCAAGAATTCCTTATTGGCATTTTATGTACTGTGATGGTTAGCTTGATTGTGTCAGCTCGCTTGGCTTTGGAGCCACTGAGGGGACTGGTGGAGCACACTTTTGGGTGTGTCTGAGTGAGTTGTGGAGGTGTGGCCTTGGTACTGTATATGGCATCTTGCCTCTTCTCTCTGGTACTGTTCCCGTGCTGTGCTTCCCAGCCACCATGAAATAAACATCTTTACTCCACTGTGCTTTTCCACCATGATGTTTCTGCCTTGGAGCCAGCTGACCATGGACTGAATCCCCTTAAAACATGAGCTGAATTAAACCTCTCCCCCTTTAAGTTGTGAGCATTGGGTATTATTTCCAGCAATGGGGAAGTTGACATAGTCTCTCCAAATTTTTTTCAACAAATAATCCTTTTTATAAGTCATCTTTGTCTTTCAAAAAACATTGGCTGGATTGAGTTTTATTAGATGCAGTTTCGATTATCTTCCATGTTACCACAAGTGATGGTTTTGTTTTTTCTTCCACTTTCCAAAAATACTTTATTTGGGGCTGAGGGGGTTGCTGGATGTTGAACCCAGAGTCTTGCACATGCTAGGCAAGCACTGTAACCATGGAGCTACAGCCAGCTCCTATTTTCTTTAGTGTGAGCCCTCACCAACAGCTTCCTCAGAGCCTTTCACATCTTCCACTACTAGCATTATTTTCCTGGTCCTTTCAGATTTCAGTAATGAGCTCCTTAAGGGTCTTACAGGTTTTGTCTACCACCTAATTCTAAAGCCAGTACTATATGTTTTAGATCTGCATTTTAGCAGCCTGTCACTTCCAGTAGTGCTGAGCTCTGTTACTGTTTTCAGCACTGCATCACCACTCACCACAAACTTAATGTTATAAAAAAGTTATTTATGGGTCAGAATTTCTGAAGGAAATTCTAGAAGGAACAGCTGGGTGATTTTGACTCAGGGTCTTTTAAATGGTAGCAGTAAAACAAATACTGGGGCAGGTACACTGATTGTAGAGGGGAAGAAACATGCAGAGGAACTAGGGAGGCTCGGGTTCTTTCTCTCGTGTAGTCTGAGAGCCTCTCCATGTGGTCTCTGCACATGGACTAGTTTGAGGTTCCTTGAAGCATGAGAGCCTCAGGGGCAGTTGGACAGCATACATGGTTACATGGTTTCAAGGGTGAGTATTCCAGTGAGCAAAGCAGAAAACTCTTACCACCTTTTCTGACATAGCCTCAGAAGTCATAGTGTCATTTCCACTTCATTCTGTTAGTTTTAAGCGACCTTTGCTCCTTGATGAGAGGAAGATAGTCTAGTTGACATTGTAGGTAAGCATGTAGAATGGGAGATCATACTGCAGCCATCTTTGGAAATTAAAATTTTCCCTAAATCAGAAGCATCCAATGAAATATCTTATCTGAGATTTGTCCTATAGGAGGCTTTCTGAATATCAAAGGAGGCATGATCCTTGATGTCTTGGAGAGTACAGTATAGACTAAAAGCAACAAGGGCCTAAAAGATTTTTTTTTGTATCGAAGATTGAACACAGGACCTTGCCGTGTTTTGAGGCAGGTGCGGGCGCCACTGAGCCAAATCCCTGGCCCAGTTGTTTTTTTAGACAATTTTATAAATGTTAAGTACGAAATCTTACAATTTGTATCACTTAATTTCTTCAGATATTTAGTGAGCCAAGGCACTGAGCTTTCCACCTTATATTGGGGCCCTAATACAATGCCTAATGAACTCATGTCATTCAGAGTACCCCTTTTACTCATTTACATTGAGTGTCAGCTAGATAAAAATTGAATTACTGTGTATCTTAACATAATTATAAATAGTGTAACTCAGATATCCATCATATGGATTCTTGGTTAATAGTGGGGACCAGGATGTGTGATACTGCATGTAGAAGCAGTATAAATTATTTATTCTTGCTTTTGAAATACAACATTTTGTCACTGTTGGAAACAACATCTAAACATACAGCTTGTGGTCTTGTTTGTAGTTATTTATCATGACTCTAGCTTCACTTCTCTGAACTTGATATTTTTTATCTGTGTGGTTCTCAGCTGGGGACAATTGAGAGCTATGTTTAGCTATCACAGCTAGTGTTAGGGGGTGCTACTGGAATCTAGTAGGTAGAGGCTATAGTTGCTGCCAGGTATCTTAACAATGCTCGAGACAGCCCCCACCACAAAGAATTACCTGACTCAGAATATATTATAGATGAGGTTAAGAAACCTGAGAGAAGATGATCATTAAGATCTTACACTACTCCAAAAGATTGTGATCGGTTATATTTTAAAGGTTGCCATAATGGAGAATAAATACTGAGACTGTACATGGCAGGTAGTCAGTTTTTTATGGCATGTTTAATCAAAGAATAGAGGTGTAGAGATTTTCTTTTTATCTCCATAGTATTCAGTCTAGTATTTTATTGCCTGATAATTCTCTAAATTTCTCATATATATTTGGACTTTCAGCCCCTCTCTCAATTTTTTATAGCAATCATTTTTGGAATGGCTGGATTAGGGTTCACTTTAGGGTTAATTCTGGTTTTTTGATGCAGGCCGAAAACAAATTAGGTGAGAATTGCCAAGGAGTTGGGAAGAAAAACATAGATAGATAGATAGATAGATAGATAGATAGATAGATAGATAGATAGGATAGGATAATACAAATATTGGAAAACCATGTTAACTGTGTGTTTGTGTGTGTGATGAGAGTCAAATATACTTTACTAGCTATGATAGCAGTTATTGACTTACAAATCTGTTATTCTCATTCTTTTAAGAAAAATGCCCTTTTTCTACAAATAGTTATCTTTTTGCCCCCGCACCCAGGTTCTTTGTGTGTGAATTATTGCTGTGCAGATACAACTTTTGATGTTCGATAATTTTTCATCATGTTTAATGGAGGTTTTATTTTGGAATTACTTTATTGAATGAAATAGTTTTTCTTTACATAGTCAATATTGCCTTTTCTTTCAGAATTCTAAATTCGAAAGTTTCCTTCTAAACGTACTTGAATGTGTTACCAGAGTTGCTTAGCTGATGATACTGTTTTGATTTCCTATTTCTTTTCTTTTTTTTTTTTTGGTACCAGGGATCGAACTTGGGTTCTTTTTTCCTCTCTATTTCTAATGTTGTAATTTTCTCCCATATTCCCTAAAGCCTTTAATTTGGGAACTTTATAAACTATGCATAATCCTCATTCTTATTGTGGGAATATAAATGGAATTATTTTTAAGTATTTCTCTACTATTTTTAAATATTCCTCTTTCCCTACTTATGATAGGTAATTATTATCATATAGCTGTTACTGCTAAGATTACTGTTGTGCTATCAGTGACTTACAGTGAGTGATAATATGACAGTTACAAAGATTATGGTTCCTTGCCCTTTTTAATAACTAACAAGTATTACTCTTCCTTATTTTTGTAAAAGGGATTTTGGTGAGGGGTATGGGGAGAAGAGTAAATGTTTCAAAAGTTTTCAGCATGAGTCATTGATTTCACAGCACATACAGATAATCAAAATTGGGGCCAATCAGTGTTAAAAAGAAAGTTTTTGTGTATATATGTATATTTTTTTCAATAGAGTTAACTAAATGGCAATGAGTATTTCTGCATACTTTGCTTCTCTGATGCTGAAGAATTGGGATTATGACAAAGTATGTTATGAGTTCACAGAAAATCTTTTTAAATACAGCTGAACTAAAATGTAAAGAACAAAAAGCAAGGGAAAATGAATTTAAGTAATTTATTTGATTAATACTTTGTATATAAAATTTGACCTTAAAGATGTTGGATATATGTTGAGGATTCCATGTCAGTAGAACTCTATTTAGCAGTAGTAAATTCATTTGCTGCTACTTCCAAAAGAAGTTTTATTTTGGGGTTTTTTACCCCCCACTTTGTATTGATTAAATGCTTTCCCAAAATGCAGAAATGCTCTTATTGCCTGCTGGTTTGTTACATTCTATAATTTTAATACTGATTTCTATATTGGGGAAAATTGGTACTCTTGACATGTCGGGATTTTTCCTAATCTAGGCACTATATGAATCCATCCATTTTTGTCATACAGGATGATGAGAACAATAACACGTCTTCACAAAGCTATGGTGTTTCTTGAATATTTCACAAGTAATTCTTGGGTTTGGAATACTGATAATGTCAATATGTTAATGAATCAACTAAACCCTGAAGATAAAAAGGCAAGTATTATCTGTTTTATGTTAGAAAACAAGTAGTATACCAATTGCAGAACCACTAAGCAACCTCAGAAATAGATATTACCCTCTACTATTACGCAACAAGAAAATCATTGATCTATTTGTGGTCTCATTAGAGCTTCAGTCATAGTTATTGGTGAGGAGATAAAAAGTGCTCTGTCTTAGAATGTGTAAAATATTTGACAGTGTCAAAGGCATTTTCAAAATATAATCAAAATGTTAACCTCTTCCTTTCCCCAAGATTAATTCAGAGACTTTAACATCTTTGTGTATTTTTCCTCCAAATGCCTGCTTTCTGAATTTTGAAAAAAAAGTTCAGAATTGTTTTTCATACACTTTTACTTTTTGTCATTTTACGTTTTGCCCTCTGCTCATTTGAAACTTAAGCTCTTTATATATGTTCTTTTTGAGGTTATCTAGGTATTTTAACATGTATACCTAAGAGTCTAAGTTAGCAATTTCAGTGGCTCCTCCTTAATGATGTTTAGGACCATAAAATGTTTTTGTTGTGATTAACACCTCCAACCATGTATGGATTTCAGTTCTCTGTTTAAGCCTCATAAGTACAAATAGTTTTGTTCATTCAGTCTTTTAGACTTAGCTATATATTTACCGATGTCTTTGTTCTGAGATCTTTATGATCTTTTTGTTTTGCGCCTGGTATATATCCAAATACCAGAATATGGTTTAGTTCAGGGTTGTTGGTAGTTAATTCCCAGCTTTTGATTGTGACCCTAGGTTTTTTTGTTTTGTTTTGTTTTGTTTTGTTTTTTATTCTTTGTGTACCAGGGATCGAACTTGGGACCTTGCGCTTGCGAGGCAGGCGCCGGAACCACTGAGCTAAATCCCCGGCCCTGAGACCCTAGGTTTTATAACATGAGTTCAGCACATTAGAGATAACTTTCTTTTTAGGTTTTGTCTATATTTTTGCTGTTGAAAAGACAATAATTTGTTCTTTTTTTATAGAAGATTAATTATTCCTGGCTTCTTTTACCTCTATGTTTGGTGGTCTGCATTTTTACTAAAAATGTATCTGTAATTTCTAAAGAAAATTAAGATATGTTATGGAATATACCAATTCCCCACAATGAATGTAATCATTATGCACTAGAAACATACTAAAAATAAAAATTAAAAAAATATACTTTGTGCTGGTTGGGCTTGCTGAATCTGAAGATTGGTGTCAGACATTGTTCATATATGGCCTCTGCACCATTCTCTTATTGTCTTCTAGAATTCCTATTACATCTCATACCATTCTGTCTGTCAGAATAACCTTAATTTTATATCTGGGCCAAAATCTAAACGATGTATTTAAATCCTATGGCAGCCTGTCAGCTTATCTTTTAGCTGTGTTTATTGTAAGCAGCATTAGTTGTTTTTCTCTCCCCCCCCCAGTCTGGTAATTTTTGATCTTTTATTGAAAGACTTAATCCATAACATAATTCCTGATAATTTGTGGGGGTTTTTGTTGTTGTTGTTGTTGTTGTTGTTGTTGTTGTTGTTTGGTTTGGTTTGGTTTTCTGGTACCGGGGATCAAACTAAGGGCCTTGGACTTGCAAGGCAGGCATGGTGCCACTGAGCTAAATCCCAGCCCCGTGGCTTAAATCTCTTAGTGCCTTGTATTTATCACACATTGTTTTCTTTTTTGCCCTTTTTAGGTTGTATTTTTGTTTTGTGTTTTTTTGTTTTTGTATTGCAATTTCATGTTTTTCCCATCTATCTTAGTTGCATTTATTTTTTAAAAATTGTTTTGGTAGGTACTCTGAGATAACAGTATCTTTTCTAATATAGCCACGCCTAATATAATTCATACTAACACTTTTCATGGATAATGAAGGACCAGTGCCTGTCTGCTACTGTTGGTACATATTTTAACTGTATATAAGTTAAGCCTGACAGGCATTATAATTTTTTATAGCCAGTCTTAGTCTGTTTTGTGCTGGTATAGTAGAATACTAAGATGGCATATGATTGGCCAGCATAATCACCCTCTTACTGTTCTTCATTTCTTCTTCCATCTTTCTGGAGTCAATCTTCATTCTAGACTGATTCCTCTGTTGTAAAAAATTCTGTTGTGTACTTCCTCTACTGTGGATATTCTGCTGATGTCAGATTGTTTCAGTTTGTGTTTTTCTGGAAACATTTTTATTTCACCTTTATTTTCAAAGATATTTACACTGGTGTAGACGTCTTTGTAAGCTATGTTATATAGTAATTTTATACACTATTATATGTTATCTGTGTTAGCAGTGATTTCCTTTGAGCCACTTGGGAAACATTGTCTCAGTCTTTTGGCTTCCATTGCTTTGTTGAGAAATCAGGTGGTAGTCTAATACTTGTTCTCTCGGAGGTAATCCAAGAGATGTTCTTTTTCTTATGTATTCTCATATACCTATGTATGTATGTGTATATGGTTGATCTTGTTTTCATTTTGTGTGGCTTGATATTTCATCATTTTGGGGAAATGTCCAGGCATTGTGTTTTAGATACTGCTTATGTTCCATTCTTTTCTCTCTCCTAGTGGAACTCCACACACATAAATATATCCTCTCGTAATATCTCCTTGATAAGGCAAGTCTTCATGTTAGTGTAGTGTTAATTTTCATATTTTAGTGATTTATTTATAGTAGCATTTTTCTCCCTCAAATTTAATATTTTTAGGTGAGTGATGGTATAGTGAACAGTTTATGCGCACACACAATCACAGTCATTTGTCTGTATCCTAAGGAGCACTGAGCAGTAGATAGTCCTCTTATTTTGCCATGAAGATACATTTTCTGATTTGTCTACTATTTTCACCAAATTATCTAGTAACTATTATCTAAACTCATAAGCTAGCTTTCATAATGTTTTTTCTTGGATGTACGGGAAGAAAGGGGAGAAGGCAGATAGACAGGAAACTAGAAATAAAGAAGTAAAGAATACATAGATCTGTTTGAACAATAAGAGTAGTTAATATTGTATTGACACCTTTTATAAGCTTGTCTTTTGGGATTTTCCTTTAAAAGAAGTGAATTTTTTACAAGTTTTTTTAAAAAATTGCTCAGTTTAATAATTTCTTCTTGTTCATGTAGACCTTCAATATTGATGTACGACAATTACATTGGGCAGAATATATAGAAAACTACTGCATGGGAACTAAGAAATATGTTTTGAATGAAGAAATGTCTGGTCTCCCTGCAGCTAGAAAACATTTGAACAAGTAAGTTTTTCATGTGTTTGAGTACATCTTGTCTTCTTTATGAAATATTACACAAATGTTTCTGGTAAACTGATGTATTATTAATCTGTTATATTTAGGAAAAGTGCTTACTTTTGGGTTAGAACTATGGCAGTATTGATTTAGTTTAAAATCGTGCAAGCCTACTGTCTTTATCAATGTATATATTCCTTAGCATGAAGTTAAGATAAATCTGAGTTTAAAAAATCACTATTATCTTCTCATATTGCTATTGAAAAAGTGAAAATATTACTAAGAAAAAAACTTTTAAACTAGAAGTTACTTATTTACAAATTTTTTGTTTTGTTTTATTTTGCCTTAGTCAAATAATTCTTGAAAGAGGAGAAAAGATGTAATAATATTATTCAACATAGAATTTTATCTTTGTAAATTAGAGTTAGAATCTTGTCTCTTTGAAGAAGTAATATATACTGAATTTAGAAAAAATAGGGTTAAAAATTACTGATAATATATCATTCAACCTGTTGAATAAACTGAGATACAAGAATGTTGTGTTTACCTACACATATGTATTAAGTGGCAAAGCAAACAAGAATATTTAACTTTTAACTCCTTATTCAAAGCTTTTTTTTCTATCGCATTGTTCCTATATTGGTGTCGAATTGTGTGACATTATTTCATTATTGCCATGTTTTACTCTTAGATGAGGACTTGTGGGTTGTGCTTTGATCATGTGACTGCCAGCTATAATAAGTTCACTTGTATGATAAGTTGCAAACAACTAAAGGCGTCAAATATATTTACAGTACTTTGCCTGTGTCGTGATGTATATAATGAATAGACCTCAGTTCATGAACTTAATTCTTTCCATGATTATGGTTGTAAGCTGAATTGGACAAGAACTGTATCAAATTCAGTGGTTAGGAAATTTGATTTGGTTCTTGTCCAATTTGGTTTGTGACCAGAATCTTGGGAAGAATTAAGTTTGTGAACCGAGGTACCACTGTAGTAGGAAGTTCAAGGCGTGTGTCTGTTTTATGTATAGTATTCTTAATGCCTAGTCCATTACTGGGCACACAAGAATGGTGATCAGTATTTATTGAATGAGTAAATTTATAATTCAAATAGACAGTCTCAAACACTTTGCTGGATTCCTTGTTAAAATAGAGGTAGTGCATTGTTTGATGCACCACTGACCAGGTTATGTATAGTCAGGTTAGTTTGAATTTTGCTAACTTTCTAATTTTAGAACCTTTAGTTTTTAAATGTTTCAGATTAATATGAATTTGAACTATGATTTAGTTTAAACCTGAGTATTACTGAGCTGCCATCCAGAAATACTTTATTTTAGAAAATATTGTCTAGCATGTCTCTTAATTTGCTTTTCAGGTTGCGGAACATACGTTACGGTTTCAATACTATCCTTGTGATCCTGATCTGGCGCATTTTTATTGCAAGGTCACAAATGGCAAGAAACATCTGGTACTTTGTGGTCAGTCTGTGTTACAAGTTTCTGTCATACTTCAGAGCATCCAGCACTATGAGATACTGAAGACCCAGAATTTCGCGTTAGAACATCTATGCATTTGGTGGTCTAAATGCACAAAATGTAAAATGTACTTAAGTCATCTCACCTTTTGTCAAGACATTAAACCATCTTAGATCTATGTGTAGAGTAAAACATGGTACATTTTATGTAACATTTTAATGTTTATGCTCATAAAACCTAATGAGCACAATGTTGTATGCCAGCTCAAATCTGTCTACAAGAGCCACCAATACTATGATTTAACATTTTGATCCATGGAAAGAAAAGGATAGGATAAAGGCAAGAATAGGGAAATAGGAACATTGACCAGTATAACTGTGCAATTCTGGAACATAATAATTCAAAATGCCTTAACATATACTTCTAATATTCAGTGCAGTGGAAAGAATTTATTTGGACAGAATGCTAGCTAAGTTGGTAGATACTTGATCCTTAAATGTTTGATTTTTTTCATCAGTTGTAGTGGGTTTTAGTTTTATTAAAACTATAGCCAAACTATTTTTACTTCCTTCTGTAAGTTATTTGGGGTATCAAACATGAAAAATATGTTCTCACTTTTCTTTTTCTGATTAAATGCCTGGTACATATCATATTTCTGTAAGTATAATCTGTTGCTTTTATAATCAGAAGGCTATATATTAAAGACCCTATTGGATCTAAATGGGTTTGAAAATCTATATCAATAAAACTATGTTAGCATCAAAAAGAGTAGGAATAAACTTTCTTGTCCAAATTTTGATCAAATAAAAATCCTGTGACATTCTGTTCATGTTTTGAAATGAGGATTTCTTGAGACTTTTGTGCTGTCTTCCCTTTATAAATATTGTTTTAGGACTTTAAAAAGGCTCGTACTATCTTTCAGATGAAATCTGAAATCAGATGAAATCTGAAAGTGCATTATTATGGAAGAATGTATTTCCAGCTAGTAATAACATCAAGAAAATATCCTTGTGTGTAAACACATACTAATTTTGACACTGAAAGTTGAATTCCTTCAAGAAAAATATGCATAATGTGTATAAAATTAAATAAAGGACTTTATTTACATACCATGTGAAGAAGCAAACTGTTGAATGAGTTTGAAGATATCACTTATTTTTTCTGCATGTGGTTTTAGCTTTAGAAAGAAATGCATTATAGAAACAAGTTATAGCAAGAGAATTGCATATTTTAATGATACATTATAATTCCCTTTAAAACTCAATAAATAGTAGTTTACTATTTTAACATACGTTTGGTTTAACAGATCATTCAGCATACCACTGTTCTAATGGAGTTGTACTATATTTAAATCATTAGCAGTGTATCATGAATATGTTAAAAGAGGTCAATTCACAATATAAAAAGTTACATACAACTTTTCATTCTAATTTTCTTTGTCAGTAAAAATGCCATGTATAAGAAGTTTATTTTGCTGTTTTGGAAAAACTAAATGTAAAGGAAATCACCTTATATGCAGGTGTATAATCTTGAAAAGGAAAAATGCTTCCATGTTGAAGCTAGATTTTCTATCGTAAAACTTTTAAACATTATTTTAAAAGAAGTATTTATGTAAATACCTATATATTCTTTGGAATGATACTAAAAATAGTCTCTGGTTTAGGACCATACCTTGTATGAGGTGTGAGAGACCTTGAGAGTGTGTGAAAGTGGGATTAATGATGAAGGCTTTGATTTAAGTGGCCTGTGTAATGTGCATTGAGCACCCCATCTCCAAATACATTTCCATAGTGTGCTGAAATTTGTATGATTTTATACTCCTGCCAAATAACTAGAGTCAGATCAACTTGTGTTTTACAAAAGAATAGGGGCACAACTTATGCAGGCCTGTGAAGTACATAGAGTTTGTTTTCTGAACTGTTCTGTTGTCCTTAGAATTTAAAGAAATATTAACTAGTGGGGTACTGAGGCCACTGCATTAATTTTTTGTGTTTGAAATTCTGTTGTGAAAGAAAGATAAAGAATAAATTAAGTCCTAAAATTAATATAATAAGTATATAGATTGACAATTGATGCCATCTAGATTTTGGATTTAAGTCAAATTTAAAAATTTTGGAAATCCACTGTGTTTGTGTCATTTGCTGGACAATGTTTATAGTTCTGTTTTCTTCACAAACTCATTTAACTGGACCGCCTATAAAATAAATTTATTTCATTTAATTCATTTAATAAAACTGTATTCTAAAACATTTGGGTGCCCCCCATTCACTCTTAGCTCTGGTGTATGCATTTGTGAATTGTGATGTTGTGACCATATTTAAATTTACCTAGCAACACTGAGGCGTCCTAAAACTCGATGCTGAGGAGAAGACACTGTGGTTGGGATTTGTTGTTGTTGTTGTGTTCTTTTGTTTTTGACTTCAGGACGCCATAGACTATTCTTTGAGTCTGTAAATAAAGCTTGGAAGCAGGGAAGGAAAAGATCTCATTTCCCCTTTGTGTATCTAGGAACTTATTTCAGATTTTTAAAATTTTTTAATGTAAATAATACTCTTTTATAAGCAGTAAATAGAAGCATTATTGGGTGCCTTTGTTTGTAAACCAAAAAGTAATAAATTAATCCCTATATTTCCATTATAGTATTTATTGTATTTCCATGTTACAACATTTGTCCACCAAGCAATGTGGTTAGAATAGCAGGAAGCAGTCTTTAAACCTCCTGTCGTCTTTAGGTGCCTCATTCATTCTTATACCCTAATTTTATTTAAGTCTGGGTTGCGCACAGCATTTTGGTAAAAGCATACAGATAGCAAGAACTTTCTGTTAAAGTAGTATTTTTATGTATTAGCTGGAACGAGGTGGGTTTTCTGCTTTTTTAAAAACCAGGAGTCTGCCAGGTTGTCATTCAGCTCCAGGTGCTCTTCTCTACAATGAATGATGCCCTTTTATTGTAACTTATTGGTACATTTGTAATAATTGATCAGACTGCATATAAAGGAGTATTCATTGGTAGTAAAAATAGACTGAGCCTTTGGGAAAAGGGGGCCCCTCTTAGTCTGGCGAAGGCTCAGTATAAAAGGTCTTCTAAGTGTCCTCTTCCTAGTCCTGACTTGAAAGCATCTCCGCTGGCTTGCTCTGCTTTGAGAACTTTCTCTTCGTTGGGGAGAGAAAGGAATGTATGCTCCATAACTTGATAAAAGAAATGAGTTTAATTATACTCATAGTCTGTGATAGAAGATGTATGAAATATTTTCTTAGGTAAATTAATAATTTTGTCTTGAAGCATTTTCTAGTAATAGAATGAGATTGTCTTTTATTGTGGTGGTACCCTGTTAGGACACATCTCTGCTACCCCTGAAATTCCTAAACAAATCATTTTTGTCAGTTAAGTGTAGTTGTGCAAAACTGTTCTTCCTTTTATCTTTTTTCCTTATAGAAAAATTTGAATAACATTGTTTGATATGCTCCTTTGCAAATTGATAACTAAAATGCATTTACTTAAAAAAGTCAAAGTGGTATGGATTTAATATCTTTACTGTGGACTTTAAATCAAAGGAGTACTTTATTATCTTCTGTGGAACAGGAAACTTAATTCTTTCTCCCTCTTGTATAAGTCTTTAGAGCAAGGGGAAACTAGAGAGTGTTGGGTTGGACCATATAGAAATGCCCTGATGTTTTTGACATATAAGGGTAATATATGACTCAACCTAGTATTATACAGCTGCCTTTTAAAAAAAGAAACACCTGGGGCCTGGGATTTAGCTCAGTGGTTCCGCCGCCTGCCCCACAAGTGCAAGGACCCGAGTTTGATCCCTGGTACCAAAAAAAAAAGGAAACACCTGTACATAAGCATACAGATAAATAGTTCTGTTTCATGTAGTTATCCAGGAAGATTATATATTTCATCAGTATTTAATTGTTTGACATTTAATACTTAATTCCTTGCTTTCTTTTTCTTCATATCTTGTATTCTTGCTTTTCTTTTTTTCAGGTTCCTGTCATTTCTCTCAGTTGTTTCTTAGTTTGTTGAGAACAAAACTACCCTTGTACCTTTTACATTGTAAAACAGTAGTTAATATTTTTTGAGTGCTTACTGTGTTCCAGGCACTGCTGTAAACATCTTACATGTAGTAACTTATTTATGCTCTACAACAGCCTTCTGTTGCAGGCCCTTCTATGACTTATTTTTTTGTAAGTGTAGTAACTAAGGCATATGATGTTAATAACTTACCCTACATTACACTTGTAGTGGCAGAACTCGATGTAGCTACAAAGCTCACAACCTTGTTCTGTTTAACTTTAGGTAGTCCTCCATATCTGTATCCATGGATTCAGCCAACAGTGGCCTGAAAATATATGAAGTAAAATTGCTTCTGTACTGTACACACAAGACATTTTCCTTGTCATCAGTGCCTAAATAATACATACAACTACAGTTTTACATCATTTAACAATATGTTTGGAAAAATAGGTCCTTAAGTTATGTTGTATGAACATGAGCATATGGTTAGACAAAGCTAGGTATTTATTATATACTTAGGCCCTAAGATATATATTGTTGTACATCATTGACAGAAATGTTATGTGGTGCATGATTATTTACATATCATTTACATCGTATTAGATGTTATGAGTAATGAGAGGTGATTTGAAGTAGACAGGCTGATGTGTGAGGTTATGTGGAAATAACCACATTTTATATAAAGGGTTAGAACATGTGAAGATTTTGGTACACATGTGAGGGTCCTAGAACTAAGTAACTGTAGGAATACAAATATGTCTGGACTTTCAGAGTTCTTTGATAGTACTGTCTTATTTTTTATTTGAAAAATTTAGCATTCATCTATTCAACAAATACTGAGTGCCTCTTACGGCTTAGGTGCAATATTTTATATTACAGTTATGTTTATCATCAAACTGTAAGCTCAGTGGCCTAGGCCCTCTTGTGGTTTTATGTCTGATCAAAGGAATGGTGGCATACGGAAGCATCCTCACTGGAACAGTATGTGCAGAGGCTGAGAAGTGTGAATCGTGAGGAAATCCTTTATGGTACTGGAAAGATAAGATGGCTAAGGAAAGATGAGACTGGGGAAATAGCATGGGAACAACTGAGGGGCTTTGCATGCTCTCACAGCTCATTGTATGTTAGAGAATGGCCATCAAAAACTAAAAGTTTTTCCCAGCCAGAGCACACCCAGTCAGATAAGAATAAGTTTTGTGCTTTAATGAACTGACCTACTACATATCTTTTATAAATGACACCAACTCAAGAGAAAGGAAAAACTAGTATAATGTCACTAAGTTTTTGAGAATACAAACCACACCAGTGTTTAAACGTTTGTGTTTTCATTTTTCTATGATTCTGAAAGTGTGATCTTCAGACCAGGAGGGTCAGTGTGGACATCTCATGGGAACTCAAAAATGCAAATTTTGAACTCCACCTCAGACCTACTGAGTCAGAAACTGAGGTAGGACCCAACCATCTGTTTTAACAGGATTCTGATGCACATAAAGTAGGAGAATCCCTGGCCTATAGAATCAATCCTCAGGACCCCCAAATAGGGTCCAACTAGTGTGCATCCCTGGAGTTTGGGGAGAAGCTCAGGAAAGTACCACTTGAAACTAAAAATGTGATCCTGCATATGTGGATGTCTTGCGTGGCAGGCATAGTACCAAAACACTAAGTTAATACTATGGATGTAGGATCCATTGCTCATTTTCCAGCCTGATTTCAGGTTTGCACAGTCCCATGTATAAATATGGATTCTTTAATTTGTTTACCAGATAACTCAGCAAATGAAAGTTGTGCAAAGAGACAAGATATCAGTGTAAAGTAGGAAAGACTTGTCAAATTTGCTTTTTTTTTTTTCTTTTATTGGTACATTTTAGGTATACAATTCATTTACATTTATCATTGGGTGTTTGTACCTGTACATGATATATCTTGGTTCTTATTTTTTTCCCCATTACCTGTGCACCTTTCACCCCCTCCGCACTTCCCTATTTACATAGATTTCATTTCCATTTTGTTTTTTCTTTTCTCATAGTTTTTCCTTTCCCTCTTTTCCTTTCCCCTTCCCCTCCCTTCACTCCTTTGTCTTTGGACGTTTTTTCCTATTTCAAATTATCAATTATTCATTTTAATCATTTTAACCCTTGTTTACACTATCAGTTTCTCACACTAGAGAAACTATTCGGTATTTACACATGAACACATTTCTCAGACAAAGTAAAAGCAGCAAACAAATATATGAAAAAATGTTCAACATCACTTGTCATTCGAGAGATGCAGATGAAAACAACACAGATTCCACCTCACTCCAGAAAGAATGGCTGCTATCAAGAACCAATAACATGCTGGCGGGGGTGTGGAGAGAAAGGAACCCTTCTCCATTGTTGGTGGGAGTGCAGACTGGTGCAACCACTGTGGAAATCCATATGGAGATACCTCAAAGAACTAGGGCTAGAAGTCCCATTTGACCCAGCTATCCCCCTGCTGGGGATCTTCCCCAAAGAATTAAAAGAATCCTACCACGGCGATATATGTGTGCCCATGTTCATAGCAGCACAGTTTGTAATAGCTAAAGCTTGGAAGCAGCCCAAGTGCCCATCAACTGGAAACTGGATAAAGATGTGGGTTTTTTTAATAAAATGGAGTACTACTCAGCCATAAAGAATGAGAAACTAGAGTCATTTATAGCTAAATGGATGCATATCAAGGCCCTCTTAAGTGAAATAAATAGGACACACATGTACTTACTCTTCTTACAGCTCACATTCTTCACAGTAGAGCTTAGTTGAATCTGATTATAATAAAGCTCCATCTAAAAATGCCAGCTATGGGGCTGGGGATTTAGGTCAGTGGTCCCAGCACCTGCCTTGCAAGCGCAAGTTCCCAAGTTCGATCCCTGGTACCAACCCCCCCCCCAAAATCAAAAACATAAAAATGCCATCTCCCTAAATGATGCAGATGGCTTTGCAGCCTACAACTCACCCAGAGTTCATTTCAGACCAGGGTCCTGTAGCAACCATTGACCAAAATTACCAGGGTAGCTTTTTTGTTTTTGTTTCTTTTGGTTTTTTTATTTCTGTTTTTGAGACAGGGTCTTGCTCTGTAGCCCAGGGTGAACTCAAAATTCTCCTGCCTCAGCTTCCCCTGTGCTGCTAGGATTTCAGGTATGTGCCACCCACCACACCTGGCTCCAGGGTAACTTTAAATGTAGACGTTCTCCAGACTGACTCCAGAG